ATTACATAAAAATAGATATTTTGCTGGCTAGCATTAGCTAACATTAGTTTACTTACTGACAGAGCTAATCATAGCTAGCTTGCTCGCTAATGTTGTTTCTAGAGCTGCAACTATTCATTGAGTAATTCAAATAATTTGATTTGACACAAATTCTTGACTTCAATGATTTGTTTAATGCACAGCTCTGCAGCATGGCGATGTGTTAAATGATGTAAATGGGAGTGCTTCAGACACGTTTATGACTAAAAACAGACCCGCAGTACAAATGTATTTAGGAGCAGCGTGTGAATAAAAACTCAGATAACAATAAGGCCACACAGCTCTCAGTTTAAAACAAAAATACTGAAACAAAAACACCTAACACAACAGCAGCAGTGATGATGACGCTGGCACCTTTTAACATAGAGGCGGAGTCTATTTACACACCACAAAGGGCAAAGAGTGAGGTCAGGCAGAGTGAAAACAAACAGCAGCTCTGTTCCTGTGATCAACATTAAAACACTTTATTGGGAAAAAGCTGCGGGAGTCCTTCATCAAAGCACCTGATCAACAAACTCCGACAACTAGAAAAGTGAAATTTGTAGCTGCTCCATCCACCGCCATTTGTCTTACATGGCAGAAGAATCTGCAGTAAAGCTCCACGGAAAAAACAGAATCCAATGAGTCGTTTATTGTGAAAGACCTGTGTTTTTTCTCTTTTGAATGTTTATGATTGCTCATTAATAAGACAAAAGTATTTTTTATCCGTTTACTAGATTAATCGATGGAATAATCGATAGATTACTTGATTACTGAAATAATCTATAGTTACAGCCCTACTTGTCCATTCGTCCATCCTTCGCTACCGCTTATCCTTTTCAGGGTCGCGGGGGGTGCTGGAGCCAATCCCAGCTGTCATAGGGCGAGAGGCGCGGTACACCCTGGACAGGTCGCCAGTCTGTCGCAGGGCTAACACACAAGGACAGACAATCATTCATACTCACATTCACTCGCACATTCACACATCCAGACCTGATTGTGTTATTGTCTTTTTCCCTGCCATGTTCTGAATCACTGACTTCACGTGTTTCACGTGTTTGAGTTGAACAAGAATGACTCAGGAAGTTCAGAAGATAAAGGAGGACATGAGGAAATAAGGGAACACTGGAAACTTACTGTTATTTTTTGATTTCATTATATTCAGGATATGTTTTTAGAGTTGGTGCTGAGGACTTTTTCTTTTTCTGATATCTGGAGAAAAAGATGGCCCACAAGTTCAAGGACCCATAAAGTATGATATCAAAACCTGTAATTATTAAAATGGGATTCTCTTTGGTCACATTTAAAGCTCAAAAGTGTTTTAACAGAAACACACAGCTGGCACATGTCCTAAGTGAGTTTCAGAGCTTTACAAGCTTTGCGTTTTGCTCGTATAATGGTCATAAAACAGGAGCAGGGTTTCACTGCCGAGCTGCAGTTAAACCCCAAAAACCTCATCCAGCCAAACAGCCGCTGACTCTCTGAATTTAGGCTTTTTGTAATCTCTAACAGAAATACATCCACTCCTGTAGACCAGGTTACCACCAAATATATGGTCTTATTTGCTTTGATGACTAAAATAAACACATTATACAAAATTTAGTGTTGTGTTAGTTGGAAAAAGGAATTTGGAAAGCTAGCTAACTAGCATTCCCATTCAGATGTGATTTTTGTAGCTATAATGTTAGCAAGCGACATGGTCAGGCAGCTAGCTGTAACTTAGTTATGCTGCGCAATTATACTGATAATTATTTTGCACCACTAGCTGATAAAGAATTTCAAAAATATTTACTAGCAGTTTAAGTGAATGACTGTCTCTACTTTAAATGTGTTTACCTAGTTAAAATAGTTAGAACTAGTCCTCATTTGTGTCATTATCAAGAAAATGGGTGAGGTAATTTGGAAAATTAGCCAACTAGCATTACCTCTCTGATATGATTTTGCTAGTGATAAAGCTTGCAATCAAGTTATACTTAGCCCACTAGCTGTATTTTTCTATGCTAGTCTGATGGCTATAATAATACTAACTGATGATGTAATTTATCAGCTTCCAGGATTGATAAGTTCTCATATCAGGGCAGCGAGTTTGGATAAGTTGGTATTTGATTGTATCCACTAAAACCAGCCATTTAAAATGACACAGACTGCCATTTGTCTGTGTTAGCAGGCATGCTAGTGCTTGCTAATATAGAACTAGTTAGACCAGCGGTCCCCAACCCCAGTACCAGTCCATGAGTCGTTTGGTACCAGGCCGCGAGAGTTGAGCTCGGGTGTGAAATTTATGGTTTTCGGGGTTTTAATCAGTTTTTATAGTTATTTTTCTTAATCGTTTTTATTGTTAACCGGTTTCCCTGGGTCTTTTCCCATGTGTCTGGTTTTATTTTGTTGTATTTATCTGTGACACCTTAAAGGCCTGTCTGTGAAACTATTGACGGACATAAACCAGCCCGTGGCGCAAAGAAGGTTGGAGACTGCTGAGTTAGACCAGCTGACTAACCTTAGCTTGTACTGTAATGTTGTCTCTGTTTAAACCCTGTATGAAGACATGTGAGTGTTGGTTTTTGTCCTCGTGTCGCACCTGGGTTGTGCTTGTTTAGTGAAGTTATTGATATTTGATTTCTAAGCTAAAATTAGCTAGCATTGCTCACTGTTTTCTTCTCCTATGTTTATCTCATATCTCAGTGATAAACTCATAAGTAAAAACATATGTCAGTGTGGAACAATAAAGCATTGTGTAAGTAGCATGCACTATGCTGGTTATATATTTTTATTTTGAATAACTGTGAATGATCTGAGAAGTTTTTCCTGATCACACCAATAACATCATCTTCCTAAACCCTAAAGAGAGTCAGACTTAGCATTTACATACCTCACACACACACACACACACACACACACACACACACACACCCTTGACCATGACATCAGCTGATAGAAATGCTGTAATTCAAGCAGACACCACCCTGAAAGCTCAGCTGCGGGTCAGAGCAGTGACAGTATTGACACTATTGCTGCAGCTGACAATAAGATGACAGTAGTTGACATGGACGAGTAGGGAAAGTCTCCTTGTTAATGACTACAAGGGCCTGCAGAAGATACTACTGTATCTGCAGTCATCTGGACACAGCTTAACCACAGACTGTAGGTAAAGGAAGGACTTTGTGACATCATCAGTGCAAACAGTGCAGAGGTCCACTTCAGCTGAGGTGAAGCCGAGCAGGCCACGCCCCCACCCTCATTAGCTAGTCCCATCTTCTTTGTCGTTCACTTCGTACATCTCAAATTTTCTGTGTAACACAGATGTCAGAAGGCTGGACAGGCTAACGCACAAGGCTGGTCAGAATCTGAAGGAGTCAGTGAAAGTCAGGACTCAGGAGGTCATTATGAAGAACCAGTCTCAGCTGCACCACTCCACAGAGGCAGCAGAGCTCCTTCTCCACAGACTGATTCAGTCCCACTGATCATTCCTGCTCTTCTCTGTCTATTTTATTGCCTGTGGCACATTTAAACATCATAAGTTGACTTAAAGTTATTCAAAGGAGGCACATTTACATTCCATCTCTTTCTAAAAAAAAAAATAAAAGTTCAATATACACGATAAGCTAAAAGGAAATAAAAAAAAATGGCACTGGTCTTTAGATTGTATTCAGAATTTTCAAATGGATGATGATTTATGAATCATGACACACTGCTCTCCCCTACACCTTCCTTTGTAGAGTAAAATTACTGGTATTCTATTGGTATATGAAATACTGGCCCTGTATTTGCTTGGTATTTGGACAGATACCAAAATAGTGGATGAATGGTAAAAAGATGTTTGATATTATATTGTCTTTATCTAACTTATCAAGATGACTTCTGATAAAAAACCTTTCTAACTAATCTAGGTTTCTCTGGCAGCAGATAACGTTTATAACTTAACACCATTGCAAAGATTAAATACAATAAAAAAGTTATTTGCGCTACATTAATTTACCGTGACTAACTAAATATTTACTTTTATCTGACACCTTTCTGCGTGAAACTCTGCAGCTCGTGAACCAAAATAGCCGTTTGTGTGAATTTTCCACCTGGAAATTATTATTATTATTATTATGTTTAAATTATTATTATTTTGACATCCACAGTAACATATTCTACATACTTTTTTTTCAAGATGTGAAGTAATTTAAGGTCCAGAGGGCGTTTCAGAGCCATTACACCCTCACTTTATGTTGAAATTCAGATTACTCATAGATTATCTGGTGCTCTCAGATTAATTTTGTTGTGTAGGAGTTTCCTCAGGATGAAATAAACCGCTGAGCGGGGGGCGGGGTGGGGGTTAAGGACACGAGTTTTCTGCATTACCATAACGGTTCCCATAGACAATAGAGTCGCTACTGCGCATGTCACAGTTTTGATATGCGGCTACTTTCAAACGCTGTGGGAAAATAGAACTGCGATGCTACAGCCGTGACAGGAGTGTGAAAGATTTCTGAAGTCTTAAAGCTGGTATTAAAGTGATGTGTAAATTTACTGTCCAGACTTTAGTACAGTGTGGAGGAAATGCAGTCTGAAGATTTATGTTCTTACTGTTCAGATGTGAAGCTGGACTTATTTGGAAGAATAATATTATATGAAAACAAAATAAAATGTTATCCACTGAATAAAATAAATAATAAAATATATTAGATTTATATATTATTTATATTCTATATAGATAATAAATATATTCGTTTTGGGATGTTTTGGGATTTTTGACCTTTTCAGAAATTTGGATGTAACAGAAAATAAGTCCGAATGCTAAATTGTTGTAAACAATGTAGTGTCTGAATTCTTTTGCCTTCTGAGTGGAGAAAATTATTTTTCTTTTTTGTGTGTAGTCAAATGTTAATTTGAATAGTGGAGGTGGGAAAAAAGTTCGGACATTTCCCTTTTTTTTAAAGAGATGATTGTGGAAAGAGTTCCTGATTGTCCCTGAAGGCAGCAAAGGTAAGCCCTGCCCTCCTAGCCGGCTGCTGTAGCGGTGCGTTCATGCGACTTTTTCCGGAGTGTTTGAAAGTTGTCAACAGAGAAGCAGAAGAAGGAGCAGGAGATCAGTGGCTTTAACGGGACTGCGGAGCTCGGAGGAGGAGGAATGGGCTGCACTCAGAGCAAGGTGAGACACACGGCCAGGAGACACTCGCGGACCCCGCCGGCACAGCTCTGCTTTGTCTTCTGTTTTTCTGCCGCCGGAGGTTCATTAACAGGCGGTCGGCGGCGGCGAGACGTGCCGGGAATGAGCGGCGGGGAGCGGACTGTATGTCCGCGGCACAGGCATCGTCTTTACCCAAGTTTAACCGAGTCACAAACACGGCGGCAAGTGGAGATTTGGCGCTAAAATGTGGGGAAAAACAGCGTTTTCCTCGTCCTGAACATCTGTTTCTAATCTTGAGTTTGAGTTTTCCCACGATGCTCCTTTCTAAGAAGTGACCTCAGACACATTCATTTAGAAACTTCTCTGAAATCCTCCAGTGTGCAGATAAAGTGAGTTTATTTACGAGCTTAAAGCAGCTTTAAGCTTTTAGCACCAAAACGTGCTGCAGTGAGCTCGACTTCCCTCTGTGAGCCGCACTCAGCTGAGAGGTTTGATTTAAAAGGAGAAGTTATCATCAGTTTAAACCAGCTGTGCTCACGGGCCACAAACGGTGGCTCAATCCAGCACAAACCAGAGCACAAAATGCTAAAAACACCTTTCTGCTCATGGTTTTATCGCTGCACTCTGATAGAATTGCTCTGCATCACTCACAGTTCAATTTAATGCTTATTTATCACTCCCTGGGCCTCTGAATTCATCCTTTCTTCTGATTGGCTGCCCCTCATAAGCAAAAAGTTTGAAGAGTTGGAGTGGGACTAATGTGCCTGAGATGACCACATTGGTCATAAGATGATACTTCTTACAGGAAATGGCAGTGAAAACTCCAAACATTGTTCCGTCTTTCTTTGCAGAACCCTTGTTCGGGTCGTGTCGGACTCTCGGTCGGGATGTTTCTGAGTTTGCGGCTGCAGTTTTTACACTTTCTGAGCTGTCGACCTGTTCACCTCCATGTGCGGCTCAGCTGTTGGTGCTTAATACGTCTCTGCTCTGTGTGTGAATCTGCGGAGTTCGCCCGTCTTGTGGCTGTAATTCTGCCCCACTCAGGGGTAAAAGTGAAGTTTGCCAGCTGTTGTCTTCCACTGGTTATTGATAGAAAGTGACAGCGCCACTAAAACTTCACACAGTGCCCGAAAGGAGGTCCGGGGCCTCTTGTTGTCCCGCCGGCTTGGACTTTGATATCACTGAAGCTGAATCCTCTCTGATCCTTTCAGCGAGCAGGTTGCAGCATTTTTCTGAAACTGAGAGAAAGTTTATCAGCATTTTGCTTTCTGCAGAGATTCAGAGAAAAAGGTTTCCAGCTCCGTACTTTTGATTTTGGACTGTGTTAGAGTAACTTTGCACAATTTAAAGTTACCCTTATTTATCCTATACTGGCCCTTGATGCATCCTTTACTTCGGGTAAAGGATGCATCAAGGGCAAGATGTTTTAGCTCCTCCCCTTTAAGGATTGACTCAATTTATGTGGCACAATGATGTTAACTGCTAATTCTGAGATGGGACATGCACATTTTTTTGTCACATGTCACATATGCCCGTCTTTTATTTACAGTCTGTGCTCATGTCCACCTACAATCGTAGAAACGCCGACCCTTTTTATAGCATCGAGTAATCAACAGGAAATGTGATGACATCATATATTTCCCAAACTTCATGTGGTATCTGCTAATGTGGGGACCACCGGACCGCCCCAGCTGCTGTTGGACAGTACAGATGTTTTGGCTTTATCTACCTTTGCATTTTGTGTTTAGTGTGACTGATTGACCAGCTGAGACATTTAGACTTTTCCATCCGATTGATCCGGCTAATGGAGCTCCTGGTATCGACGAGCTGCAGCTGAAGCCTTCGGTTGGAGCTTCAGAGTGATAACGCTGAAGTTGATGGATAATTTGATGTTGATCCTGGTTTAAATACCTGCCTCGGGCACATTGCTCCATCGCAGAGGCGGCTGAAGATGCTGTTGCATAACACAAAGCCGAGTAAATCTTTGATTAGCTCAGAATAGAAAGAGGCGTGTCAGAGAGGCTCGGAGCCTGAGAAGGAAATCCACACTCACACTGACGGCTTTAATAGCATTTCAGATTAAAGTAGACTTATTTACACTGCTGCTCAAATACCACCTTCCCTACTAACATCCACAATGATTTATGAATGATTCCTATAACTGTTGTCAGTCGCAACATTTCTGCTTATTTTAATATTTTTTTAAATAAAAATGAAATGGATTTTCTATCAGCAGTTAAAATTGTGAAGTTTGGGATTGAAATCTCTTTAAGCCTGCTGACGCGTCCACACAGCGATATGGAAACTAAAAATCGTAGCTGCAAACCCCTTTGAAACCCTACACTGTAACACAATGCTGTGCAGTGACTGCGATTGGTCCATTTGGTCCCATCGTTTCCTCCTGTTTCCTCCTTCTTTACTGCTGCCGCCATTTTTCAAATGGACTGGAAGGGAACGGCCGGTGGTGACATTGCAGAGTCACTGCGGTATCTGTGCTCGCTGTGCTGAAGGCTGTATACAGAATCACTTGTGTGACTGGCAACAGTGCCGTCCCGTGCTAGTTCACGGCTAAAACAGGTGAAATGTGATTAAACTAACCTTTAATTTGTATCGGTAATTACATAATGTGACACCATATGTGTACAGTGTAAAAAGCCAACATTCGAAGTATGATTTGATGATTGAAGAATGTGATTAATGTAGACTGCAGGCTCTTACACAAACACAGTACGTACGGACCTTATTTAACCTCGTCTGTTTTCTTTCTTATTGAAATGAGAGCGCCGTATTGATAAAGTTATGGACATAACTGTGAATAAACTGTTAAGGACGTCCATGTAGGAAGCTTTTCGCTCAGTGAGCATCGCGTTGTTGCTCACAATTTTATGCTAGCAACCAGTGAGCTTTCCAGGGTGTGGTTGTCTAGGTAACCGTGCATTTACTGCTCTGTCACGTGTAAATCAGCAGTATTCTTCACTCATTGGTGTCAGTTGCGTGCCTCACAGTGGGCAAACTTAGGACCGCCCAACTGCTTTATGTTGCTGAACGTCACCGACTCTCTACGGTCTTTGGTCACCACGTCACTGCTCTTCACTGGACGCCTCTTTAGCACGACTGGTATCAGTCTGGTACGACTGTTAAGTTAACAAATTTGGAGTCATTCTTCTTTTTAAAATGAAAACATGACAAACATCTGAGAATGTAAACTAGATTTATAAGTAAAATAAGTTAAGTTAGTTAGTTGCTCCTTTCTCTGCTCTGTCTCGCTGCGTGTGCACCTCCTCACACACGGAGTGGAGCAGCCAGGGGAGATGTTTCTAAAGAAGTTGGATACAAAGTAACCACTGAGCCTTTTAATCGACTCGTTGTAGCCTCGGACACAGAGAAGAGATCTGATGCATGTAAAGGTGGCTGATTAAACCAGAGTGCTTCTGCCTGACAACAGTAAAGTTGAATGTGTTTATTGGTTTGTGATGGGTGGTGGAGGGAAACAGCTGAAAGGACATTTTTCTGGACCTTTGAGCTTGTTGATCAGGTGATTTTGATTATTTATTTATTTATTTTCTTTGACCTGTAAAGGTTTTTATAACAGTAATGAGTGCCGCTCCTCGCTGTGGGTCAGAGAGGCTTCTCAGACTGAATCTTATAAAATCTTTAATCCTAAACACGCGTGAAGGCCTCGTGGTGAATCCACAGCTGTGATTGTTGGAAACATGTCAGTAGCTGTTGCAGCTCTATTCAAATATATTCAAACCTCTGACTATTAACGCCGCTCGTGTTGCTGCTCTGCTTGCGTGCAGTTTGTTTCTCACCTTTGGTCTTCTCGTTCGCACCCGTCCAGTTGTTTCTACCAACAGATGGTGTGGCGGTTCTCAGAGGTTACAGTTTTCCACCGTCTGGACTCCAGACAGAGCAGACGGTCTGTTTTAAAGATGACAGGAGAAGAGTAACGTGGGTGGAGGAAGATGTTTTGGAAATAAGAGTTGGCAGGACTCGAAGCTTAAAACTCGAATACCTGAACGCACTTCTGCTTGTTCGGTTTCTGCTCCCCCTCTGTGTAACCTCTGTGCAGTAAAACTATCAGTTCACCACATGAGTTAAAATAACAGGAACTAATGAATACTGATGAATTCAGCTTTGAACCACTGGTAGAAATGTCAGAAGGAATAACAAATATCTGGATTCTGTTTTTATCTACACAGAATTTAAACATCTTCTCTTTTTCCCAGAAAACCCCACAAAATAAACCGTTATAAGTGATCTAAAAAGAATTTTGTGAAGTTATGAAATACTCTGGCTGTGTCTTAATTGGATGAGTTGTTGTCACTTCTGTCTCTCAAAACAGATGCTGCGCTTTAGTAGCGTGTTACCGCGGTGCTCTGTAAGAAAAAGCCAATAGAGGGCAGTATGTACGGGAAGTAGTAAACAAAGTATAACTAGTAAACTGTTCAGGAGTACTTTGAGGTGTGGGGTCCAGGTTTTAGGAGGCACCTCTGAACTCCTCTCCCTGTTTCTAAACTACGCCAACCGCCAGAGGAAGTTGATGTCATCTGCTTTCATCCACAACCTCATTCTCCTGGTTACTACCAGTGACATCAAACCTGCATCACTGCTAACACTGCAACCACCTGCCGCTCCACCTCTCGCTGTGTGAGCAGGAGCAGCTCCATCCTGACCTCCAGCTGACTTATCTTTTAAATGGAGACCTTTCATCTGCTCTCACTTGTTCTAAGCACACACCACGCTACACCGCCACGTGGTGATGAAAGTTTACCCAGAATGCACTTTTTAAAGTTTGCTCCAGTGATTTATCAGAGATCAGATCAAACACCCTGCTCTGATGGATCCTTCGTGCTGATGCTCAGAGTCGGTGTCAAAAAACAGAAACCAGGTTTAGTGTTTAGAGTGGACGTGAACCTGGTTTTAGCAGAGCTTAAATGTGTTCTAGTCTTATAAATATCATGTAGGCTTCTTTAGTCTCAGGGAGGCTAAACAAAAAAGCTTTAAAAAGTGTGAAACTTTGAAAGTCTTCACAGCGAGAAGGTAAAGTTTTGCTCGGCTTCACTGAATAAACTAAAATTCTTTTTTAGAAAACAGCTGATTCTGAGGATGTCCGGTGGGATTGTTCATGGCACAGAGACCATTTCAGCATTTCATCGTTTACTCGCTCGGCTGTTCAGTTGCTGCAGTTTAACCCAAACTTGTTAATCAGTGTTTTTTCCTCGCGGTGGAGGTTTCGGGAGCAGAGTCTGGTCTCTGCTCCGTGAAACCAGGCCTCTGTTTCTCTGCAGGCAGGTTTTTCTCCGAGGTGAAGTGTTGTTTAAACACAGGAGAGGAATCTCGCTTCTGATTTATGGCCATTTTAAAAAGTGAGGGCCTCCACAACGCCTGCAGGAACATATGCTTCTCCTCACCACCACCTTCCTCCTCCTCCTCAGGTTGAGTCCACGTCGACGTGTTTGAGCCAGAGATATTTATTGTTTCTGCTCCGAGTTTAAATAAAGAGGGTGTCCAGTTTGCAGAGCAGAGTTTGAAGTGTTTATATAGCGTGTGTGTGTGTGTGTGTTTGTGTTAGGGCGTGATTGTTTGGCCTCAGTGTTTGAGCAATAAGATGGTGTGAGGCAATACAGTAAGCATTTCAGTGTGTGTTTGGATACACGCCTAACTTATGCAAGAGTTTGTTTGTGTGTGTGTGTTGCTGGGATTGAACAATGCTGGTTAAGTAATGAGTTGCGTGTATCCTGATCGATATTTTTCTTTCTTTAATGGGATAAACGAGTTTTCGGCGTTCCTTTTTTTCCCCTCTCGCTGAAGTGATGCTGGCTTCCTGTGAGCTGCTGAAAGATTTACGGCGGTTTACGTTGACAGATCCAGTGATGACTGTCATACAGATGCTGCGGGAAAACAGGGGTTCAGTATTTGCACACAGATGCTTCAAAACAGGGAAAGTCTTTTTAATGGACCTTAAGAAAAAAAACAAGGATTTACAGCCAGATTGTGAAGGCACACATGCACCTTCACCTGCAGGTGACTGTTTCCACAGTTCATGCTGGACGTGATGTCACAGCGTGTCTTCCTCCCATCACCACTGGGTCGTGGCAGATGGCCGCCCCTCCCTTCTGCCAGAGTATTCTTCCTGTTGTAAGGGAGTTTTTCCTTCCCGCTGTCGCCAAAATGCTTGGTCAGGGCGGACGTCTGATTGTTGGGGCTTTCTCTGTTTCTCTGTATTATTGTAGAGTCTTTACCTCATAAAGCGCCCTAAGGCAGCTGTTGTGAATTGAATTTCTCAAGTTGCGCGTTTCTGCGATCGCCATCCAAAAACCAAATGTGATTGCGAAGGCTGGCTCTGACTGTTAGCTAATGACTGGTGATGAATACTTGGTGTTTCCATACCACAGATAATCTTGTATTTTGAAACGGGTTTAAACAAGATTTACAAAACGTATATATTTTTTTAAAATTCAGTATGACTCGAAACGAGTGACGGAGTCCGTAAACTCAGCAGGGGCGTGTTTACAGAGTCTGTCGCCATCTGGTGGCCTTCAGATAAAAAGCATGTTTAAGTCACTTCTACGCTGGCTTCTTTTTTCCCATCTAGAAGCAACATCTGTTTTTTTTTTTTATTTTTATTTATTACGTCTTTGCTCCTCTCGCTGTAAACCCAGACTCACTTGGCCCCACCGCCACTCTCCCTCTGAAGCCCCTCCCACAACCTTCCTGCACCCCAGCCTGGCTCTCAAAGCTCTCCTCTAGTATGGAGGGAGACATTGAAATTAGAATAATAACTTGAAGTTTAGTCGTAATAATAATGGGCAGAAGAACAGCTAGAAGCTTGTCAGTGTAATTATTCCATAGTCAGAACATGCGTTTATCTATTTTATATCAGCTTATGTCTTGTTGGATTAAGCTCTACTTCAGTTATCTTAAGTGCGTAATAAAAGCCTTTATTGTCCTCTCATGGTTTCATACTTCAGAGGGTAGAACAGTCAAACTGGTTTAAGTTAGATTATGTTCTTTTTAAGAAGTTTTTAAGAAGGCTTTCAGTAAATCACTTGATCCTTTTGTTTGTCTGCTCCACCTTTTCCAGGTGCAGCTGCAGGTTTTTACATTAAAAGCACTTCATTCGTGTTAATGTTGAATCGTTTGTTATATTTTTGTAGCTCCTCACCCAACACCTTGTCACAATCTGAAGTCTTTTTAATCTTTCTTTTGGGATTCAGAGCTGCCCCAGGTGGTGGATCGTCTCTGTGCAGGCCCCGAGCGGCTGCAGGTCGTTTGGTTTTCAGCAGCAGGAACAGCCGTCTGTTGTCCTGCAGCAGCTGAAGTTATGTAACACACAAAGAAAAGAGGGAAAGTTTCAGCGCCAGTCATGTGGACACTAACGAGACGCTTTCATAACAAACTCCCTGCTCCAGTTAGTTACCTGGACTCGGTCAGATCGTAACACTTCACTTCATGTCTAATTATTATGGGATGTTATCAAAGCTCATCTCTGGACAGGTGGTAGTGTACATCAAAAGCTCAAACCTTCCCTGACTCGGGTTTCTTTAAACTCAAAGTGTTTCAGATCTTCCTTTCTCATGAGTTGCTCAGCATTTCTCTTCCACCTCACCATCATGTGGTCAGAGGCGTTCACACCAGTGACCTGCTGGAGGTCATTTTGTAGCTCTGGCGGTGCTCATTAGGGCTGAAGGATTATGGAAAATAATCTAATTGCGATTTTTTGCCCCAATATTGCGATGCGATATGCGATTATTTTTTAAGGTCTTTGTCTTCTGTATTATTAAACAAAGACAAGCAATACATCATATAGTATGGCCAATACTATATTACATTAATTTTAAACTGTTCTTTCCTGGAAGACAGACCTCTGTTATGATGACATGAGGTGATGCATGAATTGATGACTGACATTTTTATTTAACTTCTTCAATCACAACAGTATATTTGAACATACACAATAGTTTATTTTTAGCTTACAAACATCTGAGCATAAAGTGCTGACAAGGAACCCTGGTGTAAACATTAAAATGAAAGTCAGTACAATGTGCAGATTGCAGAAATATACATAAAAAAAATCAGTGGCTTTACCACACTCAGTTTTTCGACATCTGTGAACTACTACAGTCATTCAATTAAAAAATAATATTAAATAAATAAAACTAATAAATAAAAAATACACACAGCTTACTGATCTCTGCAGTCAGTAACATTACACATAAAGTGCAAACATAATAGCAATTGTATAAACACACACACAAACACGCCTTTAAAATTTAAAGGCGTGAAATTGGACGGTCTAGTTCTGATTAGCGTCGCCGCTGTCTCGGTGGAGTTTAATAAACTCGGCCGTCTGCTTCTTGCTATCTAAAATATAACCAGACACTGGTGTAAATTCTCGACTGTCTCATACTTCTGTTTAATAAGTTTTCTGTTTGACGTTTAGTCAGCTGTGTGAAAACCAAGGAGGAACCCACCCGGGGGATTAATAAAGTTTTATTTTATCTAATCTAATAACTTTAATCTCAGCCAAACCGATTTACTCACGAACAAACAAAACACTGAAAAAAGCCCAACAATAACATTTTTAGGTTGTCTAAGTGACTTATATATTACGTTTAACCCGAGCAGCGAAACTCCGCGGTGATCTGAAAATGATGTGCTGGGAGTTGTGCCGTTCTCGGCCGCATCAGTAACCCTCGAGCTCCCGGCTAGCTGTCGAGCTGGTGGGTAGCAGACGCCTCTGAAAACGTCGAAGCACTTTTGCAAATATGGGATATCTTGATAAACCGAGCAGATATTTGATGTTTACACAACTACTTTCTCGCCTGAAAATATGTTAAAAGTTTATTTTGTGACCCAGAAAGATTAGTATGAGTAATTTTAAAACTTAGTAGTGGCCGCCATTGCTGGAAACTGGAGTTTGGCTGGGCCGCGCTATGAATTCTGGGATATGGTAGTAATTTGGACAGCCTTCGGCGCGTCGCTGTGACGTAATCGGTCTACAAATGCGGCCTCAGGAGGATGCAGCCCATGAATTTGGACATGTCCAGAGTATAATCGCAGCCTTTGCGGTTAGAAAATTGCACTTGATCATGTCGCGATATTATCGCAAATGCGATATATCGTTCAGCCCTAGTGCTCATCCTGTTGCTCCTCGCACAAAGGAGACATGAGCCCTGCTGATGGGTTTAGGACCTTCTGCCGCCCTGTTCAGCTCCCAGAGTAACTGCCCGTCTCCAGGAGTCTCCTCCACGCTCCTGAGACTGTGCTGGGAGGCACACCTGTTAATGACATGTGGAGATGGACTACCTGTGTAACCCCTGCAGGGTGCGGGTATCGCCTCATGCTATCAGTAGCTACACTGACACTTCCCAAATGCAAAACTAGGGGAAAAGAAGTCACACAATGTTAGCTGGGAGAAGATGTGAGTGGGCTCCAGCTGTGAAATCATTCCTGTTTTGGGGGTTCCCGTTCTTGCCCGTCTAGTGCAGCTGAAACTGCTACTTAAGTCAGTATCCCAGAGGTTTGATGCCATTCTCTGATTATTTTTAATAATACATGTTCATTAAGAGGAATTTGAACCTCTGTTTATTTACTGCAACGTCTCCTTTTTGTCTTATCAGAAGAAAAGCAAAGGCAAGAAAGGAGAGAAGACTCAGAAGGCGAACATCCGCCAGGATGATGAAGGTGAGTATATTTTGTGCTGCAGACTGGTTTCCTCTTCACTCTTCTTTCGCTTCCTGTTTGCTTCTCTTGTTTTTCTGAACCTAATGTCATGAGAATCAGTCTGACTGATGATGAGAGGTTTCACTTTCACTCTGCTGTAATGTGGCTGTGGTTGCGTAGTCATACTTCATATTTTAGTAGTACAGAGACTCCTTTTTTTCTGAGGAAAAAGGCCCGACCTCTTCCTCTCTGAGTGATGTCACAGAATTGTTTCTATAGAAGTTCTCGTTTCTGTTTTTGGTGGGATAAATGCATGTGTGATAATTACAGCGTGTTCTTCTCCGTAAATGGGCTGGTATTTAGATGGTGACACAGATTTTTGTAATTCTGCTTCTGTACACTTCCAGTGAAAATAAGCAGCTGATATATGACTGGTTTCATCCTCTTTTTTTTCTAAAAAAATAAATAAGGTTCGCTTAGAAAGAGGGTGAGGAACTTGGTCATTCGGGAGGAGGTCAGAGTAGATCCCATGCTCACCTGTACTGCGCGGTGTTTTGGGCTTGTCCCCAGGCCACAGCCAGGACACTCCTGGAACGGGAAAACCTTCGAGTCACCTCAGAACTTGCTGGAAAAGAGCTCTGACCATTTCATACATAACAAACTGCCATCTTAGTTTATGCTAAGGCTTTTTTTTAATGAGCCATCAAGCTGCCAGGCGCTGCAGACGAAAATGAGCCTGTGCGCAGATAAATCTGTTGCATGACAGACGAAAGAAGTCATGCTTCCTGGCCTTTCCTAAATAAACAGAAACTGAAGTGACATCATCACCAGAACGTTACAGGTGTCTGTTCACACCTGTTAGGACACCTTTATCTCCCTCTAACAGAACACGTCTTACAGTTTTACCTGTTCGGGTTTTTACCTGACAGTTTAAAGGTCGAATGCTAACGGAGCCTTTAGCATAGCATTGATTTTATGCTACTGTGTTTCTTTTTCCTTATTTGGGTCGAAGGTTTAGGCTAGTTCTGTTTATGCAGGACAGATGTCTCCACCTCAGACACATCCATCAGTTGGAGCAGATTATTAACATTTTTCTTGCTTTCGCTGCCTCGTAGCCGGACACTTAGCCTGTTAGTCTTAGCCTCGCGTTTATTTTATGTAAGCGTTATTTTACGCTTCAGTAACAGGGAATCTAAACATGCTTGTCACCAATGAAAAAAGCATCCATAAAACAAGTTCATGGATGTTTGTTTTTTTTTTTTTTTTTTTTTTTTTTTAATATAAGAGTTTTCAAAAAGTTCTCTTTAAACCCAGACTTATTGTCAGTCATCTATTTTCTTCCATTTATCCAGTTCAGGGTTCAGGGAGATCCCATCATAGGGCAAGAAGTTGGGTACACCCTGGAGTACATTGCAGATCAGCAGTGAGAATTTATCTGATAGCACTTTTAACGCAGAGTTCAGAGGGCTAAACAACAATTTAAAGTAAATTAAAAAGAAGAAAAGTCATTCACAAATTTAAAATACTTACATGGACAAAAGAGTACATCAAATTTAATTAAAAACAATCCGCTAGTAAAGAAAAAACCCCAAAATAAATAGAATAAAGACAGTTTGCCCAATATATTCACCAATATTAAGTCTTGCCGTATCAGTTTTAATAATGGCTGATGAATGAAAATGAAAAATGTAAGTAGAGACTGTAGAAACACCCTTCAAACCTGTTACAAGTGATGCTGCATAGTTTGCCCACCGGAGGGCGCTGTGCAACTTCCCAGCTGGTAACTCTTGTTTGGAGCAAACAACAACCAGCTGGTTGGAGTAAACAAGTAATCCACAATTTCTTTAAACTGCATTACCATTTTATATTAAGGGCTTACAAATGATTACACATAACAAATATGTTTTATGCTAAATATTGGCCCATATATCTGACTTTGAATAAGTTAAATATTATTGGTACTAGCCTTAAAAATCCTGCATCGGTCAGCCAGATAAAATGTCACAAAAAAGGCAGAATCATCTTAAATAGAATCAAATCCATAGAAATGGATGTAATAATGCAGTAACAGGAAAAAAGTGACCTTTTTAACAGAAAAATGAAATTAATCTACGTCAAATAACAAAGCTCGACTTATTCATTATTCTTGTTTTAGGTTTATTAAATATTTTTATGTTATTAATGAAAAGATTTAAAACTATGAAATGGAATAAAACTACAGAGTTTAACATGACGTAGTGCCATATGTCTCATGTTTCAGTTCAGCTTTCCAGTGTGTGGCTTTACTCAGCCAAATCATGTGACGGTCCTATGAAAACAGACAATATTCACATTTTTACGAGCTCCAGTTTCCCAGCAGTGACAAACGAGCTCTGAACGATCATCCTCACACTGATTTTATCAGAGTGACTGAATCAAGCAGCTGCTTTGAAGGTTTGACTGACCGCTGACGCTCGCTGCACCCTCATTTCCTCCTGTTTACGAGCCGCTCGTTTAAACTGCAGCGATGGAGGAAGACGTGTCGTCATCCTGTGAATCACTAGCTGGAAGTTCACCTTAAAAACAGCATATTTGCACATTTATTCATTCATTCATTTATTCATGTTTTTTTTTTGTTGTTGAAAATTTCACTGTTTCAGCTCTCTGAGTTTTAGTTTAAATCTTCTCTTCCTCTCATGTTAAATTGTCTCCACGTGGATTTTAAAGCTTTAAAAATGCGACTTTATTGCTCTGAACTCCGTCGGGTCTCATTTTTCTGTGTTTACATGCTGCTGCAGGACCTTGTGAATAAACTCAAATCAAAGTAAAGCTGGTCTTTGTCTAAACATCAGACAGGCTCCGACCTGTTTGCGCCTGAATTTGAACTGGGATTATTAGAAAAATACAGATATTAAGAAAGGCCTGAAAGCCCCATTGGCTCCTGGTATTAAAATATGTGGCAGCTTGTTTTTGACTGTTTTGTTAATGATAACCTTCGTTGTGTTTGTGACAGCTGAAATGTGATCGGGTTTACCCAAACTGAAGACGTCACTGAAACTGAATGAACAGATCGTGTGTCTGCACGTCCGTGCTGTAATCAACGGGTTGAAATAAGAACTGCAGTGAGAAACACTTCCTGCATACAGGTGTGATTCATGACCGTGTGTTCTTGCAAGGATGAACTTCAGCTTTAGACCTTGAGAGAACATTTTTTCATGATTCCCACGGTCATTAAAAAGTATGAAATTAAAGTCAAGAAAAGTGAAGTTTAGAAGGCCTGAAAAACGTTACAATATTTTTCATAAAAACAAATTTGCAAAGTGCTTCACAGCTTCAGTAACACATTAACAAACAGGACATACAAACTATGAACTTAGTGTGGCTTTTCCAACGCAGATTCTGATTAATCGTAAGGAGATTGATAGGTAAAAATAGTAGAAACGAAAAAAAATTTCTTCAGTCTTTCTATTGAAATATTTTTTTTTAATATAAAATTCATCATAAAAGCTGGGAAAATGCTGTCACGGCAGCCAAAACATTAGTCAACCTATAATGCCTGTAGTTCCGCTCTCTGCCTGAAGAGGGCGGTGTGTTTTTAGTTCCACTCTCTACCTGAACATGGTGGTGTCTGTAGTTCCACTCTCTGCCTGAAGAGGGCGGTGTGCTTCATCTACTACTTTGCGTTTGTGTGGGAGCCCCGTCAAAACCCTGTCCATTAAGCTAGCAGTGTCCAAGCATTCTTTTTTCTTTTTTTTTTTTCTTTTCATACCGCGCCCCCCTGCAATGACTGCGCTCCCCCCCCCTCCCTAGGGGGCGGGCCCCACACTTTGGGAACCTCTGCTCTAAAGCATGTTTGTAACTTAAGGTCATGTTTTTGTGTCGGTTGGCAGGTAAACGTGCGTCAGGTGAGCCGGACGTCTGTCTGGAGAAGCAGTTGGAGCGGTTTGAGTGGCAGCTGAGGATTTTAAGGGAGGCCAATGGGAACCCAGAGAGGGTGGAGTTACTGAAAGACCATGGTGATGAAGAACTGTGTGGCCTCGTACTGAGCATCCTCGATAAGGTGAGATGTTCTTCTGATTACTGACCTGATTATCTGGAATCACTGATTTTCATTGTTGATTGAAAATAAACAGTGTTCTCTGTTTGGGGTTTTTTTTTTTGTTTTTTTTTTTTACCATCCAGAAATTAACAGCCGAAGAGGTTTTTCAGTGAGTAGGAACTCTTAGGTACAGGAGGTAGTACTGTCATCTGCATACAGAGTGATACTGAATATGGTGCTTATGAAATATAGACTCAAAGTGTTGTGATGCTGAAAATAATGAGGACCAAAAATAGTGCCTTGAGGGATGCCATCTTTAATAAGGTGGCATCCCTCAAGAACACGTTTCTGTGTTCTGCCAAAGAAGATTTAAAAAAAGAAGAAAACTAGTGAATAGACTTTTTAAAAAGAAGTCAGTGATTAAAAGAGCACAGAAACCAGTCAAGTTTCTTTGTAAAACACAGCAGGTTTTTGGGACTTCATGTGTCCTGTTTTATTGACGCCTGCCCTCCAACTGTCTCATTATTTTCCTCTTTATTAAACTGAATCTGTCCTGACTTCCAGGTGAAAACGGAGACGACGGCCGATTTGAACATCCTGCATGAACAGAAGAGTAAATCTGCTACTGAGGAGCACGAGAGGCACGTGGAAGGTAATGCACAGCAGATGGCTGGAGAGTCAACACTTATATCTGCTGTATTTGTTTAACGAGTTGTGATTATGGGACCACAGACTTCCCCTCCTGCAGAGAGACCCCCAGGATCAAAGAAGCGAGAAATGACTAAGAAGCAGACTGGATTCTCTTTTCTTTTGTCACCCTGAAGTCATTTTTAGTCTCCTTTTGGTCATTTTATGTGTCTTTGTGGTTGTTTTTGTCTCTTTTTTCTTGTCTAATTAGAATATCTGTTATAGATAAAAGAACCTGACAAACACAAGTGAAGCCACTTTTAAAAAGTAATCCTGTATGAGTCTTGTTAGATGTTAAAAACATTTCGCCAAACTTCTTAGCTATGGTCTACATGTGCCTGTTTGAGGTCATGTGATGCTGGGACTATAAACCGAGTTTGTGTTGTTTCCTGCAGAGCTGCAGAGGAGAAACGAGCACGAGAAAAATCAACTGACAGAAAAGTTTCAGGCGGCTGAAAATGTTCTCAAGGTAAACGTGGAAACGACGAGCAGTGTTTTTGTGTCTGTTAATACAGTCTGAAAATCAGCCGAGAATGTAAATGAAATTCTGTATTTAACGACTAGATTTAATTTCATTCTTGATTTATCTCACAAAGTCTGCGTTTCCTGTTTGTGTGTGAGTAATTTTGTTTTGTTTTACCCATTAATTATTAAGTGTTAGTGAAGCTCTTATAACAGTCTACATTTTAAAAGATATGGTTCCCACAGTTGATGCACTTGGTAAAAGCGGTAATTGTAATTTCAAGTATTTCTAGCTGATGAAAAGAACAAATATGTGAAGTAACGGTGAGAGCGGAGATCGTTTGTATGATACAGACCTCAGTTTCACTAATTCGAGCTTAAAGTTAAAGACGTAGCCTGTATATAAAAGATTCCATGTTTGTCTGTATATATTAGACTCTGTGTTTGGAAGCCTCGGTATGAGCTTAGCTTTTAGTGCTAAGTCATCAAATAACGTCAGTTAGCTTGGTTATTAAACTGCATAAACTGTATGGGAGAACCACACAGGCACCTGCTAATGGCAATGAGCTGAATGAGTGTTTTTATTTGATTTTTTTTAAAACACTGAATCCAGTTTGTTCTAGGGGGAAAAAAGAGAAACAGCAGTAAATTACAACAGTAATAATCTGTTTAATAATTCTGGTGATCCTTTTAAATTGTGTGAATTTGAGGCTTCAAAGGTTTTGCATGGACATATTTGAGTATATTTTGCCCCTTCTGGGACTGAAGGTATTGAATTAGTTTCTGTAAGCAGCAGTGTTAAACATACCTGCAGAAACCCTCGGAGAACTCCAGTAGGGGGCACTGTTCTGGATGTTAGCGTGTTGATGTTTCATGTATTCAGTAACCAGGAAGAAGCTGAATTAAGTGTTTTTGTTTTGTTTTTGCAGGCTAAAGTGGAGGAGCTGAAGGCAGAGCTGCAGGTTTACAACGAGCTGAAGAGACGAGTCGAAGAATCGATGTTTAAGAAGGACCTGCAGAGGAATATACAGGTGTGTGTGTGTGTGTGTGTTTACATAAAATTAAAGTTAAACTTGTGTTTGAAGTTAAATCAATTTAAACCACCTGTAACTACAATATTAAAACTCTTTAATATCCTGTTTAGGCTCACGGGAGCCCAGGTGCATTCTGGGAGTCTGAGCAGGAGTCCCTGGTGTTTGTGATTGAGATGAAGAGTGAGCGCGTGCAGGAGCAGAACAGGAAGCTGCAGCAGATGGACACGCTGGTACGTGATGATGTTTAAAGAGTTTCTGCAGGCGTGAAGCTTTTACGTCACCTGTCCGTACGATGACGCCGAAGCTGATGTGGACGTGATGAAGCTACAGACACCAGATACATGCTGAGTGTTAGAGCGAGCTGTGTTTCATGGGAAATGATCTGAGTTTTCTCAGATGTGCAGGAGCTGCTCTTCTTTTTTATTGTCAGCTATAGTTTTTGTATCCGTTCAGAAGGTTTTATATAAAATATATAATAGCAGCTGAAAGCTGCAGGCTTTAGAGAGGCCTGTGGATATCAGAGAAAACCATTTACCTTAAATCTTTAAGTTCTAGACCCATGCTGTTTAAAAACAACTCTGAATAATTAATTAATGCACCTCCTCAGTAAGATAATCGGTAAATGAGCTTTTTAAAATCCTGAGTCCAGAGTTTGCAGAGAAAATGCAAAAAACCTTTTAGTACAAAGACATCTCTTTGTAGTAACTGTGATGTTACAAGACTTTAAAAGTTTGACTTCATGTGCTGAACACTGCAGAAAACCTGAACTTTGACCTCAAACTCCATTTCATTCCTGTTCAGTTACATTTAATGTCTTTACGTTTCCTTGTGTTTGTGGGGCTCGTTCTTTCCGCGACGTTCTTCGTCTTCATGCTCGTCTCATGATTTTCAGGTGGAGAAGAATTTGGCTTTGGAGGACCAGATCATTCACACCATGCAGCAGAACGAGGACCTGAGGGTCCGGATAGACAACTGCCAGACTCTCATTCAGTACGTGCCTGAATATTTAATAGAGTGAAGAAAGCAGAGCAGAGGCATGAGTGTGCTGCCACCTGCTGGACGGAACATCTTCCTGCAGGAGCGCTTCAGTCAAAATGGGCTGGTGTTAGAACAGTTTAATATAAGGAGGTGCATTTCTTGAAGCTAAAGGAGCAACACATTTTGATTTAGTGATAGTAACTGATCTAACTTCAGATTCAACCCTCAGAAAAACCTCATTAATATTAGAGAAGAGTAATTTCTTATAAAACCAGACAAACCTGAGCAAAGTTCCCACCTGACCCTCTCAGAATCAGCGGATCTCTGTTTACATTAACTTTACTTTATGCTGAAGTACTGCAGGTTTCAACTTTCAGAGCTACGAAATGTGTTTACATCCACTCCAAGTGTCACAAGCTAAAGAAGATTTGTTCTAAAAACAACTTTGAGCACCAGTTTAAAATCTGTGAGGCAGAGCAGCCGAAACAAATCAGTATCCTTGGATCAGTGCAGTCTGTTGCTCCGTTTTCTAGGAAACATAAAGACGTAACAGAGGTCCCCAACCACCTTTTCCTTTCTCAAATAATTTTCCCTTTCTTCCTGTTCTCAGGCAGCTATCGAAGGAGCAGCAAGACCTGAAGGTGGCGCTGGAGAGGCAGGTAGCATCCAACCAGAAGCTTTCTCAGGAAAAAGAGCAGCTGATGTTCAAGCTGAGACACAGGGACTCGTGCCCGCCCATCCACCTGCCCACCGTGATGCCGGAGGTCACGCCAAGATGACCGACTGCGAGTCTGACCCTGGATCTTTTTCCGACTAGCAGCCCGTCTGGTTTCATTAACTGAGCAAAAGAGTCAAACAGAAAGAGTGGCCAACCCTCCGAGTTCACGTTAGAGACTCTGGAGCTCTGACTCTGCCTACATTAATGCTGATCAACGAGAACATCAGTTTCACTGCAGCCAGCGGATCTTCTGCAGTCGATGAGGTTTACTGAACAACTCTGGATCCTCTGAGATCACAGAAAGCTTTGAGCGTTTACCGCTGTATGCACGAACTGTTTGGAGCCAGAGAGACATGTTTATTTTTGTTTTTCTGGCATTTTCTAATGACGATCATCGGTTTGATGGCGGTTTAAATGCTACAGAAAGCATGAAACTGAGATACTAGGAACAGAGTTTTATTTTATTGCAGAGCAAAAACGGACTGATGAGCGTGGCAGCACAGAAATGCTCGTTCTGTCCGTAACATCACGTTATCAGTTAACTTCACTCCACTACTTGACTCAATCTTGAGTTCAAGTCCAAGAACTCCTGGTGGCACCATAAAACCTGCATCATATGCTGCGATGCTTCGTCAGGTGTGCCTTTTCAGGTCTAGGCCTTCAGCTATTAATGACTTTCCTTTTTGAATTAAACCTTCAGCCCATTATCAGTCTAGAATTTATTTCATAAATTACATCCAATAACAAGCAATTTTCGTGTGACAAAAGCCATAAAACTTGACTAATTTGATTTCTTTTGCTGACTAACTGTTACTCCAGTCACTGTATCCGTAGGTATTACGGTTCTGGAAATTCCAAATGCCAATGCCAAAGTGCCTCCCATCAGGACGCCGAAGTGCTGATCAAAGATCTCATGAGCGTCTTTGCTGAAGTTGGAGCCTTGCTGAGTTGAACAGTATTTGATGCACGTGAAGTACCTGAAGGTTCAAACGTATTAAACTTTCTCCAAGGACTCTGCTGGGAACCAGGTTTGTTGATGGTACCAGAAAGTCTGAGACCTCTGAGGTTTCAAGGGTTGTAACAAAGGCCTGTTTTACTTGGATGGTTAATGCATTTGATGAGCTTCCTGAGGATCCTAAAGAAAAAATATGACTAGTACTTGATAGCTTTCCAGTTTATTAGTGTTTTAGCGTTTACCTTTGTGCCTTTTCTAACTGCAGGGACTGTTTTTCCACTTCTTTTATCCTTTTTATTTCCAACTTGCTCCTTTCACTAATAGTCCACAAAATTAAAAACAAAAACAAAAACAGGGATATCTCTAGAAACAACAGACCTGCTGGCTCTGTCTGGAATTATTTTTTTCTTTTCACGTAAATCACCCCAGTTTCTACTGGTAACTTTCGGCTGTGGGTTATTTTTCACGAGGTAGTATTTTATAACACCAGTAGTAAACATAAAAGTGAGCAGAGGTTTAAACCCTGAAAGGACTAGTACAGTTATTGATGTAGGGTGGAGCAATGGAAATAGAAAGGTAAATACTGACACCAGTTCACACCTACCCTGTGCTGGAACAGTGCTTAGTGCTTTGTAGGGAAGTCTTTCAGGTTTTTCTCTCATTACAAACTTCTGCTTGAAGGTTCAGATCTTTTTTTTTTTTTTTTTTTTTTTTACTGTAGTTGGTTCTCTCAGTTCTTTCCAAGCACTTCTATTTTTTTTGATGTTCAATTGAGATCACACTTTTCATTGTACAGCATCAGTAATTGAGTATTTAGGAGCCAAAAAACAAACTGCATTAAAGGTTATTAAAGCATTAAATGGGCTTTCAGATCAACAGCCATAGTTTTATTCGTTAAAAAAAAATTACACGCTATATATGGCACGCTAACATAATATCTCATGCTATTGTCTTTTGGTTGGAAAGCGTTGCAATAATATTAAGATATGTTAGCTGAATGTTAAAACCTAACACCAGAGCTTCAGTGAACACCTCTGTAAGAGCTATCAGTGCTGGTTGTTATTGTCAATTAGGGATTAGCAGTAAATTATTAGCATGTTAGTCGTGTGTTTACCCGTTAGTATATTAATATCCCCAGGAAAAAAGGTACATGTCAGAGTGCTAGCACACAATACTTAATAAAACACACATTCATATCTTAACCTTAGCAAGCAGAATGGTTTAAAGGGTGAGGTTTATTTTATTTTATTTTTTTCAACCAACTGACTCTGCTCTATTAGTCCGTGAGCTATTGTGGCAGGTAGGCTAACTGCTAACATGTTGGCTGGCTCCAGTAATTAGCTGTGTAGGCTTAGCCAGATTGTTCTGGTTGTGTTCATAATATATTAGAGTGAGCATGCTTATCATGTTCTTGATATATTTACTGCTTTTATATAACCATTTTATCATGTGTATTTGTTAAAGCAGTTTAACCACAGAACATCAGTACTTTTCCTTTCTACATCTCTTTGTTAGTCAGTTAATCTATCCTTTTAGCTGTGTTATCTAACTGGTAATATGCAAGCTAGCCACAGTAGCTCACAAATATTAGCAGACAGGCTGTTTGGGTGTTTATTGTTTTAAGTTATTCAGTGATGTGATGTAAACATTGAGCTAAATTCTGCGACCACTTAAAATAGTTATCTAAATCACATAAATCTGAAGTGTCCTTTTCCATGCATCTTTGTGAAGCTGTTAGTCATTTAGCAGACAACGAAATGCTAACATGCTGGCATCTGCCATTTTGCAGGATTCCTAAAATGTCTATTTCAGTAACAGGCACATTTAAAGCTTGAAAAGTTTAATTTTCACAAGTAAATACTTAAGAACAGTCACAGAAATCTAATCACTGCATACAGTCTTTGAGTCAGTTGATGAATTTTTTTTTCCTTTGTAAGATTTGAAAAATATTGTTATCTTGTCCTTTTTTTTTTTTTTTTTTTTTTTTTTTGCATGATGTAAGTTTGTATTGCCAAAAAACAATGTCAGTGTTGTTACAGCTCTGTATTTTGCACCAGCACTTTGACCGCTATTTTTACCAGGCATTTATAGAGATTTACATATTGTACAGTTTAGATTTTTTTCTTCTTCTCTTTCCTACATGTAAAGAAAAAAAGTAGTATGTCTTTTTGCAGTCAAATGGAAGTCAAGCGGTTTGCTTTCACAGCGTGATGTAAATACACTCAAATGTTTTCTTTGTTTTGTTTTTGACTTGTTGAAATAAAAATCTGTAACTGAGTTTGACTGCTGTTAATAATTTCATCTGAGATTACATTTTTACTTACATTTGGATTTGATCAAGATGTAATATCGTACAGAGAATGAAAATACTTTAAAAAACAGTTTGTATGTAATGTTAAACTCCCTAATAAACTTAAAGATAAAGTAGGGCTGCTCAATTAATCGAATTTTAATCACGATTACGATCTGGGCTTTCAACGATCATTAAAAATGACTGAGCCGATTATTAGCCCCTCCCTCATGCTTTACTCTCGCGCTGCTCCATGTGGCAAATCAAGCGCACTGCTCTGCATTTCGAACACGCGTCACAACAATTAAGAAGCTCGGAAAGCTAAGCAGAAGTTATTTGGACAGGAGAGTGACTGCCGTTGGTTGAAAAGAGAGGTAAAAAAAAACAAAACTTAAGTGGTGTGGAAACATTATGGGTTCGCAGAGTCAGACGTGGATCAAGTAGACACAGTGTGTAAACTTTGCTATGGTGTCGTAGCTGCACCACAGAGCAACACTGCAAAGTTCACATTTTTCATTTATTTCTTATATTGCAAACATTTGCACTGTTATCAGTATTTGCACACTATTTTATATTATTTTTTAAAGTCATTATTCAATACATTGTTATTGTTAAACCTTTAAAGCCGGTCAGAGCAGCATGCTCGTTCTGTGTAACTATTTTTAAATCCCTGTAGAACCTGAACGCTAAGCTAGCACAATAAAAAATTTTTCCATATGAAACCAGAGGAGTTGTACTTACTTCTTATGCCATCAGCTTGTCCTCGGTCACGGTTTCCTTCCACATATAGCTTTGCAAAAATTGCATAAAAAGAGCTTGCAGGAACAAAAACATAATATTCCAGAAACACTTTGCCGATCCGATCAGCTGTTCTTAACACTTCCCACATTGAAAAAGACATCAACGTGAACTATCGCAAGTGACGTCATTTTTGCGGAAAATTTAGTTTTTTACTTGTAGGCCTTAGAATTGCACTGCTGGAAATAGTTTATTTTGATGCACATGCACATTCTTTGCAAATTTGCATCATAGGATTGTTTTTTTGTTTTTCCTGCAGTATATAAAAATTGCTGTATCTCCAAAAATAAAACTATGAAGACACTCAAAATAAATTTCCTGTTGTTGTAAACTATTTTTTGCAACTTTTTTGTATTTAAAGTTTTGAGGGATAAACCTCTTAAATTTCTCCAAGTAGAAATATATGTAAAAACAAAAACGATTTTCAATTTTTTTGTAGTTTATTGCACTTTTTTGCAATTAATGTAGTTACTATGGACTTAATGCATACACATTATTAAAATATGGGCTATAACAGTTGTATTGATGTATAGCAACTTGAAATGCTCCCACAAATGGCACTACAGCATGTAAAAAAATAATATAAGCTCTGGCGGACGAAATAAATATCGTCAAATAATCGTGATCTCAATTTCAGTGAAAATAATCGTGATTATCATTTTTGCCATAATCGAGCAGCCCTAAGATAAAGTATAAATTCCTAATCTTAAATATTAAGAAGAAAATGGGCAGGGGGAGGGGGGGACTTTCAGTGGGTAACAGGAATATTATATATATTTTAGTGAGGAATTTGAACTAAAATTCTTAAGTACACAATAAAAATAACAAAAAAGACACTAAGAACAAGGAGAACGAGCAGAAAATTGTTACTAAATGATAAAGATTGAGTTGTGTAATGCTGATCTGTGACCACGAGGGGGCAGCAGAAACCAGCCACTGGAATACAACCTGTGAATGTGATCACCACCACAGGCTTTCCCAAAGACATTACATCACTAGCTGATGTCACTGGGAGCTAATGCTAACATTAAACTAATGCTCAGCAGATGACCATATACTAAACAGTCTTATTCTGAACTGAGAGATCCTTGGCTGCTTTCAGGACGTTTACATATTTAAGTCATAAGAATATTCCAGGAAATATAATTCACAAATAGGAGCTGTATTTAGCTGTACACTGGAGTTGTACTTGGAGGCACCTTGGCTATGGGTTAAAAAAATAGTTCCTGCAGTGTTGGTTTTTTTTATTTGTTTTTTTTTTAATTATTAACTGGTCTCTGGATATCACATCTGTAGCAATGTTATATACAAATATAGGGTATATCTTTTGTTTATTTTTGCAAATAAATCTTGTTTCTTCATAGTGTTTTCATTTGCCTTTTCTTTGTTGCTTTAAAGAAAAACCTAAAATTTCCACCAACATCTTTTTCTAATCACTTCCTTGATGATAAATTAGATTAAGGAAAGATGTGAAGGAGAATTCAAAACCCTATGTGTTCTTAACATGTTGTTTTATAAATGTTGGAGAACTCTGATAAATAATCTCGACATCCTTCAGTTTATTTTAATGAAACACATTCTCTTTATTTGTGAAGCCACATTACAGAAAGTGCTTCATACAGGAAAAAACTTTATAACAAGCAGATTTGAATAAAGTTTTGGGTTTAAGAAACTGTTACTGAAGCTTTAGTAATTTACATGATGATCAGCTTCACTTGTTGGTTGATCATTTCGTTTGATTGCACATAACTATGGACTGTTGAATGGCATTATCTCCTTTTATACCAACTCTTATTATGGCTACAGGTACTTCAGGGTCATCAAAGGGTTGTTTTTTTGTTTTTTTTTTAACCTCTAGCCTGGTTTTCCATTTGTGAGCATTAACTGGGGATGTCGCTAACCAGTGTTTCCGGACCAACCCAGGTCATTGTCTCTCACAGTCAAGTTTAGATGTGTTTTAGTTTATAAGTTGAGGAAATACAGAGATAAGAGCTGCCATCTTTACGAGAAGACGAGAGGAAATGTTTTCATGTCCTCTAAGTCTTTTAGCTAAGCTCTGGATGGCTTTGATCAGCCTTTCAATGATCGGGGCTGTAAGAAATCCTAAATCCAGTAACCGTGCATCATCTTAGACAGCAGGTCAATAAACTGCTACGGTACAAGTCAACCAGCACACCTCAGCCAGTGTCCACCAGGGTTAGCATTTGGTTTCAGCCACAAGCTAAAAGATTCTCAAACTAGAAGTCTCCTTTCAAATCAAATCTCTCACATGCATTCTGTCATAAAATGCCAATAATGATCTAGTTACAGCCTAACCCTGAGCCTGCACTGGTGGACAGCAACCTGAGGGATGGTGAGAGATCAACAGTCCTCACAAAAAGGCGTCCTCACATGTGAGAAATCCACAACATGGTGCCGAGTCAATCAGAAATCGAACGAACTTAAAAAGAGCAACTTGCGTGGCTGAAAATCCACCGACCACAGGTATGGATCCAGGTTAGTTTGTGATATATTTATGAAAACATCAAGAACACATCTCACACATATTTATGAGAATATGAGATCAGGGTCAACTCCAAAAGTTGTAAGTTGGGCCAAGAATACTGCTCATATAAATA